CATATTCAAAATGGTATTGTTTATTCATCGATAGTAAAAACTGTTCATAATACCACTCCTGTAATATTTGACTACAAATTAGGCGATAATAATAAATATAGTGATCAGTTTGGCTGCTTTTTGCTTGCATTTTGGCGCCTTTTGAAGTCCACCCAACGTCAACCCTGACGCTCACGGTCCCTTCTCGCATTTTATGAAGCAACTAAAGTTCTCGCCTTAATGAGTATGAGCTGCAACAGCAGAAACATGCATGGTGCTCCTGCCATGCGAATTCGTACGCGATAGTCGTGCAGGACGCAAGGCAAAATGTAACTATTGGGCTCGTTTGTGGATACCTACTTGATTAGCGTATGATGCAAATTAAGGGTGAAACGTCATTAGGATAGCGATAGATAACGTTGAGCTTGGTCTGTGAACACGCGCCTATGAAGTGTTCCTCATTTCTAATCCGCATCCTGTGTAGGTAATTTGCGAACTTCTTCAAGAGACCACATTGTTTATTCTCCCGTGGATGACTTCATTGTGTTTTACATCGTACACATTCGATACATTGAAAGTCTTGAACTAGATTTTCATTAGATTTTTGTTGTTGCGAGAGCAATTAAATGAACCCTGACGTGGAAGCCCCCGTATTGCTGCAGCATGACCCTTCCAGTACCTTTTCCATTTCACCTCAATTCAGGTGCGCTTATGCTGTCGCCGTCATCACCTCCGTGAGGTTCCATATAAAGACTGAAGGGCAGGCGGAAATCGCCGCTGAAGCGGATACCAAACGTAACGGCCGTCCTATACGTCGCGCGGAAGGTCCATAGGGTGTACCAAAATGGCACTTGCCTGGTTCTTCCAGTACACCGTTCCATACTTTGATCAGTCAACAGCCTACGCGTCCGCTTTTGTGTCTCCTTCTACGCAGCCTTTGACCTCTGCATCTGCTCTGTGTAGCCTTTGATGCAGCCTTCAGTCACTGTTCCCGTTTCCTGTTTTTCGATGCTGCAGCGTATAGAGTGTGTGCCCGTTTCCGCTTAGCCTTTGATGAAGCGTTTACCACATGATTCTGTATCGTCTATAGCTTTTAGTGTAGTCCTCAGGCCCAGTTCACCTTTGTTTTTAGCCTTGACTGCAGCTTTTAACCTCTGCTTTCTTTTATGTGTAGACTTTGTGTTGTATCGTGCGTCCAACGCGACGCACGGAGAACCAAGGGGCCCAGTCCCCCAAGCGCGGGACGGGAAGGAGGAGTAGAAAGTGACACAGCCGAGACCCGGGCGGAAACTCTCTTTATTCTTTCCATGCACGGCCTAATGATGATGATGCTGCTGCTGCTGATGATGATAGTGAGGCTATTCTCTTCGTAAATACTTCCGCGAAGCGCCCCCTGAGGGCGATTACTCGGAACCGAAACCACAACCAATTGGCCTAATACAACACTGATGCATCCGATGGTCCGTGTTAGTATTGCTGCTTAGCCTTTGATGTAACCTGCAGCCGCGACTTCTGCTACTCGTCCAGCCTCTCACGTAGTCTTTATTCTCGGTTCCAGTTCATGTGTAGCCTTTGTTGCCTGCAGCTTTTTGCCTCTGCTGCCGTTCCTGGGTAGCCGTTGGCACATCCCTGGTCAAAAGCTCCCAGGTCAAGCTCCCATACAAATGCATGGTATAGTGGCCTAAACACTTCTGACTCCCCCCCCCCCCCCCAATTTCCTGCACATAATTTAGACAAAGCTTCCGTTTCCTGCGTGGTCTTTCATGAAGCATATGGCTTTGCTTCCATTAAAGTGCCGACCTTGATGCAGGACTTAGCCTGCGCTTATATTTCTAGAAGCAAGTAGGAGATATAAACTTCAATTCAATCGTTACCTCTCTCGACACGACGTAGAATTGTTCTTGCACGTATTGCGCAGGGAGGGAGAAAAGAGAACTCCCTGTACGCCGACCCCTAGAAGGTCTCCGCTTTACGCCAACACCAATATAAAGTGCAGGCTAGGTATGTTACGCCGGAACCGCGCTGAAATACAGAAACGTATCAAGCTCGCGGTTGAGCGAGCCGTTAATATTTAGTTTTTTTCGCTCATCTCGGACCTGCGCGAACAGCAACAACAAAACGCGCGCGCGCACGCACTCATTGGACAAAGGGAAGCTCGTTTCTCGGACGTCTTTGAGGAGATCAAGAAGAAGGAGGAACAAGAAGAAGACGAAGAAGAATGAGAAGGCCGACAAACGACACCAACGATTCGCATGATTATTCTTTCCTTAACGCTTATAAAAGTGGCGCTTCGGAAACGACCACCCCAGGTGGGCCCCTGGCCTATTACGGTGGCATCGCGATTGTGCGAGAACAGACAAAAAAAAATATAAATAGGGCACACGTTTCGCGACGGAACAAGAGACTGCGCTTTCGCAGACCGACTCCCTCAGTCGAACGTCGCTGCGGCGGTGGCTATTCCAGGCGTAATAACCTCGCACGGCGGACTGTATGGTGCCGAGATGGAAAGAACATGTGGTCACCCCGTTGTAAAACTCGCCCGGCGTGCTGGCAGACACAAAGGAAACTGATGCTACGGAAGCGGACGAGGCGGGCGTTCGGCGTGTTGCCGCGTGGAGTGTATTGTTATTTGTTTCGAATGCTTCGTAGAGTTTTTAACTGAGGGAGGTCGAGCACAGGTAAAGGGCGTGAGAGGGAAGGAAACACGTAAGACGTAAGCCCCAAACTCTGGAGGTTCTACTGCAGTGTACTTCAAGCTCTGGAGGTCGACCTCAATCTGCCGAGGTCCTTAAACAGTCCACCTCTAACTCTGGAGGTCACTTCAAAATAAGGCGATTTTTATACAATATACCCCAAGCTCTGTGGTTCGCCTGAGACTCTGGAGGTCACATTGAACTGGAAGGTTCTTTTACACCATACGTGAAACTGTGGGGTTAACTTCAAGCTCTAGAGGTCCTTATACAGTACACGTTAAACTCTGGAGGCCACCGAGAAATATGGAGCTTCCTATACAGTATACCTGAAACTTTGAAGTTTGGCTCAAGTTCTGGAAGTTCTACAGTACACATCAAACTCTGAAGGTCACTTGAAACTCCAGAAGTTCTACAGTACACTTCAACTTCCGAATGTAGGGAGGAGCTTCAGGTGGGAGGCAACAATGAAATTGAAAAACGTTAAAGTAATTTAATACGTGTCTTTCACACTGTGGCTCATGATATTTCGAAAGAAGTATGGAACTCGGCTGTATAACTTTACGCACTGTCAAACTCCAAGCAAGCTTCAACCTACGTTTGTTAAAATTGAATTGGCTGCCGAACTAGTTTTTTACATTTTTATGTTGAACTTATAACCAATTGGTGATTGTGCGCACTGCTTTACTTCTCTTGACCATAATGTACAAATCTGAATTCCGGGATATAGGCATTTGTTCTGACGAACAAACACCAATATCAGCATTCAGGTCCAACGCGCCCATTGGAGTCAAAGTTAACCGAATATTTTCGTATACAAACTTTATAAAGCTGCCATATTCTGCTTAAGCATCCTTAAATGCCAGTTCAGTGCAATTTCTGTTGTCCAATGAAGTTGAACTCATAAATATACATTTCCATGTATGTAGGATTTCCTGTTCATGGCCCGACTGAAACTCTCGACGCATGGTGCTTCCACAACTTAATGTATTCTGCGTCAAACAAGTCCCCGCCCGTCAGTAAGTCAATCAATTTGACACCAACGGTTTTGCGATAACCTATGAAACTAATAGACAATTCAACCAAGCTAGTTATAAAAGGCATTACATTTTTTAAGTGAAGTTTGCAATGACTATGACATAGCTGAAAAGGACAGACGTGCATGTAAAGGTACCTCTTTCTATCGGTGGGATCCGAACCCGCAACCTTCGAATTTTAACTATGAAAGAAGTTCATCAACTACCGTTATTCACGAACACAATCATAACCCAAAATAGCTCATATTAGTTGAGGAAGCAACTTCGCTTCGCTGGAGCAGAAATTACGACATAGCTGACTAATTCTTGATTGATGAATAACAGCGCGTAACGCGTCGCGCATGGCTGAAGGCGTTTCTATATACGGCAGACAGGGGGACGAAGCATGTTTAGCTTTCTGCCTTTCTTTGGTTCATTGACATTGGGTGCCGGAAATCAAAGTCGACTGGTTATGGCAGCCTAAACTGCCCACGACGCAAAGACGCTTTCAAGTGCGACTAATAGCGGCCTCCAAATTCCAAAACATGCACGTCGCGACGCCGTGGTGCACGGTCCGTTGGATCCGAGAACTTCCTTCCCTCCTCTTCAAACTGTTCTCCCCAGGAGCCTATCGCTTGTTGGGGCTTAACGCTGGGAAGGAGGGAAAGGGACGCCATAAGAGAAGCGCTCGGCCCCGGAGGGGCTTATGAGATCTTGTATATGCGTTTCTTTTGTTGTTTCCCATTTGCTTGTTTTCTTTGCGCCGGGCTCATTTGCATGTACCACCAGCGCGAACGGCGCACGGACAGTACATCCCGCGCTGCTGTGCGCTCGCACACAGAGTGCAGCGTGGACGACAGCGCACCGCAAACAATTAACCGTGTCCCAGGGTGCGCGCAGCACCCGTCCCTTTCTCTCCTCCTCCGCCTCTCTCATCTATCCACGCTTCTCGATGATATCAACCACGGCGAGGAGCGTCCTCTTCGCAACAAGGCCTAGAACAACGGCACGCACTGGCAACTCCAAAAAAAAAAAAAAACGACGTTACACGACGCGAACAACGAGCCACGCGCGTGGCGCCGACGGCTCGTTACAAAGCCTGCACTTCGGGCAGAGTTGCCAACTCGGCTAAAGAAAGACGGCTACAAGTGACGTCGGCGCTTGAGGCGAGGCGCGCGCGCCTCTTTTCTATTTTCCTCCTCCGGTTTTGCAGCGGGCGGCGAGCTACATATCTCCCTCTTTCCCACCCTGCATCGTCGGCACGGCACGAGCCGAGCCGGCGCCCTCCCATTTCCGAATCATCCTCGCGCCAACAGGCAACCTACAAACAACGCAAGCGGCGGGGTGCGCGCACGCTCGCACACAACGCGGAGGAGGAGAACTCGCCGCCGGCCGCAGGAGCTTGCAAGCTGCCGGTCCTACATCCCACGCAACACTCGCAAGTCAGTAAGCCAGTCAGTCAGTCGAGCGCTCAGCCTGCGGTCCTTGTGGCAGCAGCGGAACACGCTGGCGTGTGACGGAACGGCCTGGCGGAGAAGACGACATAGAGCAACGCTTCGGTTCACAGGAGTGCGCGTACAGACGGACGGCCGCGAACGCCGAAACGTCGCGGTGTACAACGAAGAGAAGGAAGACCTTCGCCTCTCCCTCTTTCACTGCACGCTACGCTAACTGCGTCCACGGCGACGTCGTCGTTGTGCTCGTCGCGTCGTCTGGGAGCTAAGACGCGCGTCGCTCCAGGTGGTCTGTCGTGGTGTTAGCGGGCGGCGGCCTCCGAAGGGCTGCCGGCGTCCTCAACGAACGTCGTCCGTCAACAGGCTGTGCTCTACCAGGACTTCCACAGGTGCCCAGTTACATGAGTCTCGATTTTGTAACCAGCAACAGACGTCGGGACATCTTGCCAGTAAGGCCACAGCGAGCTTTATCCGAAAACGCCTCGAAGTTCCAGTCGCCGAAGACTTCAACGACCGTGCTCGGAACCTCCGTCTTTGATACCTGTAACATCACTACGGCGTCAAGCTGACAGGATTATCGAGGGCTTCGGGTGTCGCGGGGTGGATTAGCTTCGCGAAAGCCCGCGCGTGTGCTGTGTAATGAAACAGGCTTGAAGTACGCCAACGCGAAAGGACTGTGTTTGAAAGCTCCGGTTTTGCCGTTCCCACATCAACGGACCATTGCGGTGCGCCTCACTGCCAGCTCCCGCCGTCATCATCGGGTTTCACATCCAGCAAGCCGCACTTAACACAGCCTGTGACAAAGCCGATAAGGAAGGACAAAAGTTAACCTTGACCTTCTTGCCTACTCTACGACCACGGCGATGTGTGAGCGCCCGCAGCGCTGAAATCTAGGCCTGCGTAAAAATGAGCGCGACTGCAATTAGTCCTTCTTCGCCCGCATAGAAGTCGAGTCCCTGTATCAAAGAAGGAACAAGATAACTGCGGGCTTCTCAGTAAACTAACCGGTGGATAAGAGCCCGCGCAGCTCTCCACATTGGCTGTCTGGGTGCGAGGTCAGAGGGCCGCAGGTAAATGTGAGTAGGAGATGGTCAGTTCCGCCAGGTGGCGAAGAAGACCCAACTAGAGCGGGAAATTGTGTGTGGAGTTTCCCTCTTCACAGAAAGAAGAGCTAACTTGGGCCAAGCTCGCACGTGCAGAAAATATTATAGCGCCGAAAAAAAATTAGAGCGTGGAATTACAGTTGTATAAACTTCCAAGCCAAACACGTCTACGGGAGTTCTCAAGCGGATACATCTACACGACCTCCTATTGTACGTTTGCGAGCCTAGCGAAAGCGTGGTCGACGCGAAAACTGCGCAGACCTGGAAGCCAGACTTTGTCATCAACGAACTTCGTGTTTCGGGTGGCAAGTAGTCTACAGGACGCGCTCATACGCTGCTTTTCTGCCCACGACATAACCAAAACTGGACATAACCTAGACAAGGTCTTCAGCCACTTCGACAGCGAAGGAAAATTCAAGGTCACCGAATATCCACGTTCGTTTCGTGCAGTGTATTTTCACGAAAAGTGCGCAGCCCTTGGAAAACTGGATCGTGCGCCATCATGGCCTCTGGTGCAGTCATCGAGGAAACTGCCGGGCTCGCATCTTGAGTGACAGGTGGTGTCTCCCCCCCAAACCAGACCTTCTTGTGACGACCGAAACCCCACCTGAGTGCAACGAAACGTTAGGTAAGCGATATCCCTAATTTACAAACTCTTTTTTCACGTGTCTACCTTCCACTTCATAATGAGTCAGCACAGTGTGGTCATGGTCAGAACATGAAGAGATCTTTCTCGAAGAAGCTGTAGAAGTCAGTGGACCATTTATTCCGACAAAACAGGCATTTAAGTTCGGAGCACCATGTGAAGGCCCTTTATGAGATCATAACCATAGTAGCCAACGTACAGAAAAATAGTGGTTGTTTTAATTAAGTTAACCCTTATAGAAATTAGTTGTTTGTGTTATATTGGGCACTCGATAGAGTTATAGAAGAGTAAAAAGCGGCGAAATAGTGCTACGTTCTGTCATGAGTAAAGCTATAATAAGTGCAATAAGTATATAAAGAAGGAGAAGAACACATTAGCGAATGTTTGACAGATCCAATCATTTGTTGTCACACACAGGCGTCGTAGATCTATCGCAAAACAAGAATGCTGTCGCATTTCTTTCCGAGTGAAGGCATAAACGTCAATACCTTGGTTTTCATTGTTACTTAGATGAGAAGGAATATTGCAAGCTAGCACATATCATAACTTTTAGTAAGACGCCTCCTTTCCATCTTTTAAACGCTAGTGTGGCGGGGGCTCCACGCAACGTCTGACACAGGAAGTCCGAAGTCCTTCGTGTGTTTTGGACGGCTAAGCCCCATGGCTTGGTGTTACTGCGGGGCAAATGTTTATCGCGCTTTTTAGTAGTAATCTGTGCTAACATTTCTTCTGCGAAGTACCGTGTCTGCCTCGGTGGATCAGTGTTTAGGGGGCTCGGCTGCTGAACGATCGACAATATTGAACTACGATGTACTCTACTATGGCAGAGCAAGGCTGTCCCGGCACAAGAATGTGTTTAGAACAAACTGTGTACGTTGTAGAGTAATTTATGCACTCTACTATTGAAAAGCCACTTACTGTCCCGGATGGAACGTAACAGCGCCTACACTTCCTTCGTGAGAAAATATTTCAGTGCGGCGTCTATGTGTGCTTAGAAAAAAAAAATGATTTAAAGTACTTCGAATTCTCCTACGGGCAAAGCAATCAACCATCCCAGATCCAGACGCAACTCCTTACTGTGGATGTGTGTTTAAAACAAATGTTCGACAACTTAGAGTACGATGTACTGTACTAAGGGACAGCAGTTTGCCGCCCAGTTTTAAATGTGTGTTTAGAAAACCGTGTTCAACGATTTAGAGCACTGTAGGTACTCCACCATCTGGGTGAATAAAGCTGTCCCTCAGGCGGATGAAACGTCATACCAGCGCGCGCAGTTTCACGTTACGCGCTTGCATATGTGCGCAAGTTTATGCTATCCGGCAAAAGCGCCATCGCCTCTTCAGGTAGTTGGACCATTTCTCTCGATATGTCCGACTTACTTTTGCAGCAGTACAAGGTGAGAAGTCAGAAAGAAAAATGGTCGTTTGAAATGCGTACGTTCTTTGGTAAAACTTTCGTGCACAATAAGATTGATCACGCTGCGATTGACATTTTTTTTTACATATTCTCTTCCCTCTTCCCGAAGCTGCACATTTCTGCCAGCCATGCGTGAACTCCCGCGCAGAATTGCAGTAGATCTCGTCATTTTGAGATTTCAGGAAGAGTTAGACTTGAGCAATATGACTCCATCGTCGTCCGCTATACTCAAGGAGAAAAAAAAGTTTGCTTGGTGTGAGGTCAGGTGAATATTAATGGTGAGCCAATTTATTTAACTTACAAGCAGTGCTTCGCGTTTTCGAATGACCCGAAAAATTCCGATGAACACTTGCCGGTAAATTTCTTACGATTCGAATTTATCCGGTAAGCCCCAATTTTGAGACGTTGAGAATGCCCGACGTGAAGAATTCCCTTTTTAAAAGGACATTCTCAGCGTTTAAATGGCATTTTTAAAGCGGACAATCATTCATCGAAATGGGCGCACCTCCGTCAGCGGCAGGAACTTCGTAAATTATGCTAACGAGCTTTGAGCTTGTATTACGAACAATTGTAGCTGCTTTCTAATCAAGTAGTTGGACTTGTATGTATATGTGATAGCAAGTTCGAACCTTCCAGACATTAAAACACACTTACAGTATTTGCGTGTTCTGATATTGCATCTAAAATTTTAGGAATGATAATAATGATGACCGCAATAACAATAATAGGTCCTATATTTTTTATCGAAGATGAGCCTGTCAATGAGAAAAGCGGACCTTACAAAAGTACACTTTGACGAATTTGCAGCAGTGCACATCAGCAGGCTTATTAGCAGGACTACTGAACAAGAAAAAAAAAATAAAGGGATGGAAAAACAGGAATACCAGCAATAATACAAGGCATTTTCAGTGAAAATAAAACTATTGAAAGAACATTGCATGAACTGATACAAAGCGAAGTGAAGTCCCGAATTTTCGGAGCGTTGGATATCTATGAGAAATAAACTCGGATAAAATCAAATTATTTCTGGAAAAATTATGATAAACTCCTTAAGACGCGCTTCGAATATCAAGAAACATAAACTCCCGGAACACGGACGGAGCTCTGAAGCCCTGTCTATAAACAGGCTACATGCCTCACTATCACCTGTACATTATGTCTGTGCTGGGTGAACAGCTCTTTCCCGACACGTGCTGCCATATTTGTTTTGACGCTCTAGCGGTGTTGCGTGGTACTACACAAACAGAAGCTATATTACGCTAAAACAAGACAAACGCACTATCATTTTGATGCCTATCGTGTACTCCTTCTATAAGTTTGTCGCATTCTCATTAATAGTAAGTACTTTGTGAACACCCTTCGTACAAGGAGGTTTTATTGCTACGCCAATTACGTGGACAATTTCAGGAGCGATTCTCGGTATTAGAGGATATAATGGACGCCGTTGGTGCCACGTCTCACCGGCACCAACGGCGTCCAGCCACACCTGAATGAAAAATAGACGTAAAAAGTTATGTCTCGTGAAGGAGTGTGATTACTAAAACCTATACTCGGGGTTGTATCTATACAGCGGGTACCTATATACTGGAACGTTTTGGTCAAACTGCAGTATCACGCAAAAAAAAAAGCATGTGTTGCCCTGTAAAATTGAACACCACCCATTAGAAAAACCTGGACCGCCATTGTAAAATTTTCAAACACCCTGGGATGCCACGCGGGTTGTACACTGTAATTTGAGCGGAACGTTCAAATAAGTATTCACCGGCACTCGTTTTCGCCGGTACTCGTATTAACCGGTACTCGTTTTGCCACCTGACGTGCTGAACCAACGATAAACACTATACTGAATTCAGAATATCAACATGACGTAGCTTCCATGATGGTCCAGGCTTCTCGCACATTTTACATTGAATCGCACGGGCTATTCGTGCTATAGTACCGTTGTACCGCAAAAGTGGCGGAGACAATGTTTGCAGGTCGACGGTCTTAACTTTGGGGTCTATGAAATTAGCTATTTTTCGCCCCACATTCACGAATAGTATACTGTAGACAGATAGAATTCTGGAAGAAGAATGCGAATAAGGCGGAGCCTTGCCGAAGCGTCCTTTAGAGAGGGCGCCACTATACACTCCCACTCGGCCTAGCGAGACACACTGCCCCAGTGGTCGCCTGCCACCGCCATTGTGTTTTTTCTATTACTTTTTTAGTCTACAGCAGTTCCCCACTGTAGCTTCTCACATGTTTTTCTTTTCTTAATTTTTTCCGTTATTCCGTCGTCTGAGCACAGAGAAATATCGTCCCGCCGTCGTACTTCCGAAGGGAACGCGCTGCTTGCAATGCAAATGCAGCGAGGCGATGACATAGCTGCCGCATTGTGCGTCGTCGCAGCACGTGGGCAACCGTTTCAAGATGTGTGCCCACCAGCTGCGTCCGCGTCACGGAAGCCGCAGAGAAGTGCAAGAATGTGGGCCACTATGCAATGCATACTGCCACACCCGTTCCTTTCTTTCTATTTTCTTGCAACTGCTCCACTACAATGTAACTGCTGCCTTGCGCGAAAGCACGCCCGAATGACTGCGAAAACTATCCTGATAATGTAAAAAAAAAAAAAACTTCGATGAGATTACGTGCCGAACGCGAACATTACAGTCAGTTGTGGAACTTACGCAGCCGCTAGCGACAACGCTGTTATCTTCGATGGTACATATACTCGTATAAAAGCCGACGCACTTGACCACTCGCCAGTTTTATCGACCGCCGACGCTCCGTTCGCCGCTGTTATCGTACGCTGCGTATTGGTGTAGTTTGAGTTTCCATTTCCCGGCCATCATCATCATAACCCTGACTACGTCCACTGCAGGACAAAGGCCTCTCCCATGTTCCGCCGGTCAACTCGGTCCTGCGCGTGCAGCTGCTGCAACTTTATATCCGCAAACTTCCTAATCTCATCTGGCCACCCAAATTTCTGTCTTTCCCTCACCCGGTTGCCTTCTCTGGGAATTTAGTTAGTTACCCTTAATGACCAGTGGTTGTCTTGTCTACGCGATACGTGCTTGTCCCATGTATATTTCCTCTTTTGATTTCAACTAATTGATTGATTGATTGATTGAATAATTCATATTTGGGGTTTAACGTCTCAAAACCACCATATGATTATGAGAGACGCCGTAGTGGATGGCTCCGGAGATTTCGACCACCTGGGATTCTTTAACGTGCCCCCAAATCTGAGCACACGGGCCTACAACATTTCCGCCTCCATCGGAAATGCAGCCGCCGCAGCCGGGATTCGATCCCGCGACCTGCGGGTCAGCGGCCAAGTATCTTACAGCCACTAGACCACCGCGGCGGGGCGATTTTGAACTATGATATCATTACCCACAGTTTGTTCCCCGACCCACTCTGTTCTCTTCATGCCTCTTAAGGTTACACCTATCGTTTTCTTTTCCGTCGCTGGCTGCGTCGTCCTCAATTAGGCTGAACCCCTCCCGGCCACGAGTTCGGCCATATAAGGAGTTTCGTCTCTGGACACGACCACTGCTGCCTTCGTCTACGTCACGACCACGTGA